CCATGGGGGGGAGGGGGCGAAGCACAGCCCCCCTCCCATCCCCTCCCATGGACCCCCGGGTTGCCCCGGAGCCGCCCCCCGCCCTCCTCTTGCCGCCCAGCCCTTGGCTCCGCCGGCTGCCCTGGAGGCTGAAGCGGGACCACCGGACTCGCCCTCCCCATGCAGCCCCCTTGGCTCCTCCCGGCCAATGCCGCCCCCGGGGGGCTGTTGTGGGTGGGGCTGTTAGCGGAGTCTCAGAGGGACCCCTCCCCGTTTGAGAATGGGGAAAGCCCCCCCCCCGTTTCCCCCTTTTCCGGCTCTCCTCTGGGTCGGGGGTTGGGAGGGAGGGTGCTTGTCCCTCCAAAGGCATGGCTGGGTGGGGGTCTCCCCAGACCTTTTGGCTTCTGGCTTTGGGGGCGCCCCCACCTCCTTGGCCACACACATACCCCACCCCTCCCCAAACCTCTGGGCCAGACCTTCTGTTCCCCCCCCCCTCTGCTGCTCAGGAGTGGCTGCTGGAGACTGCCTTGATGGGGGGGGGGGGCTTTTCCCTCCCTGAAGAGACCCCTCCTCCTCTCTCCCTTGGGGAGCAAAATGTACCTTGTTTTCTCTCTCTATCTTGGAAATTGATATATGGCCACCAACCTCAGGAATGTGACCCCGGGCATTAGAAAGAGGAAGAGAAGCTCCCTCTGTGGAGGTTGGGGGTCTCTTGGGAGGGCCTGGATACCCCCCCCCCCTTTCATTCCTAGAGGGGTTGCGTTCTGGTCCAGTCTTAACATATTACCATATTACCCTTTGTTGGCTCTGCTTTGTCTTTTTTGTGTTATCTTAGATCAGGCAGGGTGTGCAAACTTTAAGACTTGTGGACTTCAGCTGGGGAATTCTGGGAGTTGAAGTCCACAAGTCTTAAAAGTTCCCTAGTTTGGACACCCCCCCGATCTAAGATCGCCCCAGTTGGGCTGCATCGGTGGGATCACTGTGGGTTTTACTATCTGTTCATCTGTAATTTCTTTCCTGCCTTTCTTATTTTTACAAATAACTCAAGGCGGCGAACATATCAACACGCCTTCCTCCTCTTTATTTTCCCCACAGTAGCAACGACCCTGCGAGGTGGGTTGAGGCTGTGAGAGAATGGCAGGGTCACCCAGCCGGCCTTCAGGGCTAAGGCCGGATTTGAACTCAACAATTTTTAGCTTGGTAACCATTTAAACCAAACTGGCTCTGTTTTCTGTGTTTTTAAGGATTTTGTTTTGCGTTGTCTGCTGTCCAGAGTCTGCTGGAGTTGGGTGGCTATGATACATTTTAATATTTATCTCCTTTATTCATTAAACATGAAACGCAGCCAACTGAACATTCAAAAATGCATCACAAATACCACTGACTGGTGCTAATGGTTGATACGGTTTGCTGCCGGCGTCCTAGGAATCAACCAAGGACCTTCTTAAAATATAAGATGTAAGCACAGTGTCTTGCAGTTTCGCTGGTGTTTATTGCAGGAAGCTGCCATTTGTGGATGTATAATTGTAAAATCCTTGGACATGGTGCCAAGTGCCCCGATGACAATGAGGTATCACTCTTAACATGCTTCATCCATAGCCGTGTAGTTTCGATGGCCAAGTCATGATATTTCATTATTTTTTCTAGTTCTTTTTCTTTGATTCTGGCATCTCCAGGAACAGCGATATCAATGAACTCTACACTTCGGCCCTCTACAAATCGTGATATCTGGGGTGTTGGGCTCCTAATGACGATCCGTTTGTATTCGAAGGTCCCACGAGATCTTCACCTTCTCATTTTCGATAACTTTTTCCACTTTATGTTCCCATGACTTTCTGGATACGGGTGAATCATATTTTTTACGTAATGACCAGCAGATTAATTTAGCAACTTGGTCATGTCTAGATTTGAAATCAGTTTGTGCGATTTTGTTGCATTTATATATTAAATGTGAAAGAGTTTCGACTTTTGTTATTGCAAAGTCGGCAGTTTGGGTTGTGAGTGGATTTTTTTTTTAATTGAAAATTTTTGAAAAAAAGACTTTTACAAATATTTACCTTCCCTTCCCCCCCCCCCCCCCCC